TGCATTCACTGGAAAGGCGAAGAGTTAGGGGTGACATGATAGAGGTTTACAAGTGGGTGAATGGACATAACAAAGGGGATATTAATAGGGTATTAAAAGTATCAACACAAGACAGAACACGAAACAATGGGTATAAATTGGATAAGTTTAGATTTGGGAAAGACTTGGGTAAATACTGGTTCAGTAACAGGGTTGTTGATTTGTGGAACCAATTGCCGCGTAACATTGTGGAGGTGGGGTCCCTCGATTGTTTCAAGCATGGGTTGGACGTGTATATGAGTGGGATTGGGTGGTTATAAATAGGAGCTGCCTCGTATGGGCCAACAGGCCTTCTGCAGTTGTCTTTGTTCTTATGTTCAATCCGACTTCGCAATCTCAACACCATCTAGATCGTATCTTGTAACTCTATCATCATTACCTAACCTCAGAACTTTACATTTATCAGCATTAAACTGCATCTGCCAATCCTTTGACCATTTCAAAACCCTATTTAGATCAACTTGAAGAGATAGTGAGTCCTCCTCCGAATTAATATCCCTACCGATTTTCGTATCATCGGCAAATTTGCAAATGTTGCTACTCAAACCTGAATCTAAATCATTTATATATATTATAAATGCACAACTTGCCTAAACATGCAAGAGAGATTATACAACCTTAGAACACTTTCCCACCAGGAGATTCGAATCCTAGCCAGCACAGAAGCATTACAGCAACTGGCATAACTGGTACGCCTTTAACCCACTGCACCACAGCTCAGACCCCTTAAAAGAGATGGAAATTTCAGAGTATTTCACCTCCAAAGATCACCACCTCCCAAGGGCAACTAGAGCATAGTGAGGGAATCTTCTGCTTCACTATTCCCTGTTTTGTTCACCCAGTTTATTCCACTAAAATTAAAGTCACCCATGACATAAATACTGTTAGATCTAGATGCTCTAGATATTTCATCCCATAGATGCTTTGCTTCCATTCTGTCTAAATTTGGTGGCCTATATATAACTCCTATTACAATAGGAGTCACTGGAAAGGCGAAGAGTTAGGGGCGACATGATAGAGGTTTACAAATGGGTGAATGGACATAACAAGGGGGATATTAATAGGGTATTAAAAGTATCAACACAGGACAGAACACGAAACAATGGGTATAAATTGGATAAGTTTAGATTTAGGAAAGACTTGGGTAAATACTGGTTCAGTAACAGGGTTGTAGATTTGTGGAACCAATTGCCGCGTAACGTGGTGGAGGTGGGGTCCCTCGATTGTTTCAAGCGCGGGTTGGACAAGTATATGAGTGGGATTGGGTGGTTATAGAATAGGAGCTGCCTCGTATGGGCCAATAGGCCTTCTGCAGTTACCTTTGTTCTTATGTTCTTATGTTAATATTATTGGCTTTTCCGTTTAATTCTATCCAAATAGTTTCTGTGTGTGGCTCAGTTTTGATTCCCTCTTTGAGACTACATTTCAAATTGTCCCTAACATATATGGCTACTCCCCCTCTTCGTCTAATATATCTATCTGTGTGAAATAGTTTAAATCCATTTATCTGATATTCAGCTAATAGTTCTCTATTTTCTACGTTCATCCACGTTTCGGTAAGTGCAATAATATCTATTTTTTCTCTGCAGACAAGAGCATTTAATTCATTAATTTTATTTCTTAGACTTCTACTGTTAGTGTAATATATCCTCAGTGAATTGTTATTTTGAGGCCCTTTTCTTTCCCTGATCATTTTGCCAATTCTTTTCTCTCACGAACACATACTTTTATTACCTCCTTCCTCCAAATCAATTCCCATACCACTATCTACTAACAGTTTAAACCCAAACAAACACCTCTAACCACTGGTTCCAACGAGTTCGCAACAGCAACAACCCCAGCCCTCGATAGATGCACCCCATCACGAGCATACATTTCATTTCTTCCATAGAAGCGTTCCCAGTTGTCTATGAAAGATATTGCATTTGATTTGCAATATCTTTCCAGCCGGCAATTGACACCAAGTGCCTTCGACATCCATTTATTTCACACTCCCTTTCTTGGAAGAATGCCACATATGATCGGGATTCCTCCCTTGCTCCTAACTAATTCAATGGCTGTCCTAAATCTCTATATTAGTTCCTCACTCCTAACTCGCCCAACATCATTACCCCCTGCATTAATACAAATAATGGGTTTGTTCCCATTTCCCGTCATAATATCATTCATATTTTCAACAATATCACCAATTCCAGCTCCCAGATAGCAAAACCTTAATCTGTTCCCCCTAAAAAACGTTCAAAAAACGTTCTGTCTAAATACCTCACCTGGGAATCTCCCACAACCAAAATTCGCTTCGGTACCGCCCTAACTTTCTGAGCAGCCTGAGGGGCCTACCCTCTGCCGTTCCTCGCTGCAGGCGCACTACAGCACTCGTCCTCCAACACGGCAAATGAATTTGCCGTCCTTAGGACGCCTGTAGGCGGCCATGTCAAGGTCTTCTTAAGATCCCTGTCTTTCACTATTCTCCACGATGAGGTCTCGTCAACACTGGTCTCCTCCTTCGTTTCCTCTCGAAGTCTCAGCCGTCGTACCTCCTCCCGCAGGGAATCCATCTCTGCTCTCAGAGCTCCAACCAAACGCACCAAATCATTAACTAATCCTTCCATTATTGCAATAATAATGTTACTCCAGAGCTCCAGCTAACACAACCTCTCACTGTGGTTGACTAAGTTAATTCCCCAAATTAGAAATCTTTCATATGAAGAAAGATTAACAAAGCTTAAGTTGCATTCACTGGAAAGGCGAAGAGTTAGGGGTGACATGATAGAGGTTTTTAAGTGGGAGAATGGACATAACAAAGGGGATATTAATAGGGTATTAAAAGTATCAACACAAGACAGAATACGAAACAATGGGTATAAATTGGATAAGTTTAGATTTGGGAAAGACTTGGGTAAATACTGGTTCAGTAACAGGGTTGTTGATTTGTGGAACCAATTACCGCGTAACGTGCTGAAGGTAGGGTCCGATTGTTTCAAGCGCGGGTTGGACAAGTATATGAGTGGGATTGGGTGTTTATAGATAGGAGCTGCCTCGTATGGGCCAATAGGCCTTCTGCAATTAACTTTGTTCTTATGTTTAGAACAGGAATTGTTCTAACCATACAACTGGTTAGAAATGTTAAAAAAGAGATTAGGAAAGCAAAAGGAAACTATGAAGTTCGCATAGGAACTTCTTTGTTCTTATGTTCGCATAAGAACATAAGAACAAAGGCAACTGCAGAAGGCCTATAGGCCCATATGAGGCAGTTCCTATTTATAACCACCCAATCCCACTCATATACTTGTCCAACCCGCGCTTGAAACAATCGGACCCTACCTTCAGCACGTTATGCGGTAATTGGTTCCACAAATCAACAACCCTGTTACTGAACCAGTATTTACCCAAGTCTTTCCCAAATCTAAACTTTTATACCCATACCTTTTATACCTTTTATACCCAATTTATACCCATTGTTTCGTGTTCTGTCTTGTGTTGATACTTTTAATACCCTATTAATATCCCCTTTGTTATGTCCATTCACCCACTTGTAAACCTCTATCATGTCACCCCTAACTCTTCGCCTTTCCAGTGAATGCAACTTAAGCTTTCTTAATCTTTCTTCATATGAAAGATTTCTAATTTGGGGAATTAACTTAGTCATCCTACGCTGGACACGTTCAAGTGAATTTATATCCATTCTATAATATAGCGACCAAAACTGAACTGAATAAATCTAAATGGGGCCTAACTAGAGCAAGATATAACTTGAGAACCACACCAGGTGTCTTGTTACTAACGCTGCGATTAATAAATCCAAGTGTCCTATATGCCTTATTACGAACATTCATGCATTGATCTTTTTGTTTTAAATTCTTACTAATCATAACTCCCAGATCCCTTTCGGAATCCGACTTCGCAATCCCAACACCATCTAGCTCGTATCTTGTAACTCTATCATCATTACCTAGCCTCAGAACTTAACATTTATCAGCATTAAACTGCATTTGCCAATCATTTGACCATTTCAAAACCCTATCTAGATCAACTTGAAGTGATAGTGAGTCCTCCTCCGAATTAATTTCCCTACCGATTTTCGTATCATCGGCAAATTTGCAAATGTTGCTACTCAATCCTGAATCTAAATCATTTATATATATTATAAACAACAGGGGTCCCAGGACAGAGCCCTGAGGTACTCCACTAACAACATTATCCCACTCTGACTTGATTCCATTTAAACTGGATCCCATCCCATATTGGAATCCCATTAAATGAAAAAGCTGATGAAATTGCTAAATTGGCAACTCGTCATCCAGTGATACATAAAACAATTCAACCCAGCCTAGAGAACATAAAAAACATCATCACCAAAAAACTCTCACATCTCAACAAAGCCTACCTGCACCAGAGAATAGCTGAAGGTTCGCCATCTGCAACATGGTATCTTCAGGCAACCAAATTAGAAAGGTTAAATATCCCAAAAGGAATCCACAGGGAAATAGCAGATAGGTTATATAGACTACGTCTAGGTTACAGATGCAACTGGGAGATTGGTGAACCCCGACAGAGAGAGTGCATCTTCTGCCAAACTGTCACAGAAAAGCCATTACTTCACTATCTACTGGAATGTGAAGCAACCAATGACCTTAGAAGAGCTTTAAGAGTTCCTGAATCATGCAGTGGCCACCCTGAAGCCATCAACACAGCCACTCTCCTGGTCAACAAAGGTGTCCAGCAGCTGGACACCCTCATAAAGACTGTGAAGCAGTATCCTCCCCCGCGATAACAGCTTGATGGTTAAAAGCAACCTCAGAATACTGAGAAAAAAAAAATTGTACCACTTACAGGCTATTCATGCCCGTGCCACCTCTTGGGTGGCTTAATCTTTATCAATCAATCTATCACCCCTCAATCGGCTTTAAACAAGCAATAAGAGAATATTTATCATCTCTTCTCTTAGCCTTTACCTCTGGAAGGGTTTCGACCCAAGCAGAATCAATCAATACCTCATTATCTTCTTAATATGAGTGATAAACTCTACGAGTGTCAAGCGTGTGGGAAAACATTTAGTCGTCTTGGAAATATGAAGAACCACAAAATGGTGCATACTGATCTTAAACCTCGCACTTGTCTCGAATATGGTGAAAGTTTCTGCCAAACTGGAACTCTGAAAAAACTCAAGAGGGCAAATTTGGGTAGTAAATCATATGAGTGTTTTGAGTGCGGAGAAACGTTCAGCCGAATAAAAAATTTAAAGAAACACAAAATGATGCACAAAGGTGAAAAGCCCTTCAGCTGTGATGTTTGTGGAAAGAATTTCAGTACCCGTCGAAATATAATTAGGCACTTGTTAGTACACTCTGGTGAGAAATCCCACGAGTGTTCAGAGTGTGGGAAAAGATTCTCTCGATATGACTTTTTGAAGAAACACAGAATTGTGCATACGAGAGATAAACCCGAGTGTCCAGAGTGTGGGAAAAAATCGGTGCACTTGGAACTATGAAGAAACACATGATGGTGCACACGGGTGAAAAGCCTCATAGGTGTAATGTGTGTGGGAAAAATTTGAGTAGTCGTAGCAGTCTAAATGATCACATGTTAATGCATACTGGAGAAAAACCTTTCAAGTGTGATGAGTGTGGAAAAAGTTTCAGGTATCGTAGCCATATAGTTAGGCACATGATAGAGCATTCTGGTGAGAAACTTTACGAGTGTCTAGAGTGTTGTAAAAAATTCTTTCGAAATGAACATTTGAAGAGCCACCGAATAGTGCATACTAGAGAAAAATGTCAGACTGAGAAAAAGATTCATTCAACTTGGAGCTATGAAAACACACAGGATTATGCATACAAGTTTGGTCAGTTTATGATAAGATTTCTCATAATTTCGAGTGAAATAGATTTTCATTTTATTGCACAATATGTTTATAATTACTAGATCATAATATGTATTTTATTGGTGTAAGTAATAATTTTTTTTATCCCACTATCAAAGCTTCTTTTTTCTTCCTACTCTTGGTGATATTGTTTCTATGAAAACAGGTTAAATTTAAGACTTAAAATATAGGTCCTTAAATTTAACCTTAATTTAGGTTAAATATTGCTAAGGAAATTTAATCCTCAAAATTAAGCATTCAAAATGGATTTTATGATGACTTACCTTTTAACTGCCAAAAAATACTGTTACAAAATTAAGAGAAAACTAATAAAATCATATGAAACTTCAAGTGAACTATTTGGATAGAACTTGATCTCTCAAATGCCAGAGATAGGGGGAACAAGTTAAGTGTTTGCTATCCAGGAGCTTGAATTGGTGATATTGTTAACAATATCACCAATCCCGTGGATGAATGTAGAAAATAGAGAACTATTAGCTGAATATCAAATAAATGGATTTAAACTATTTCACACAGATAGATATATTAGACGAGGAGGTGGAGTAGCCATATATGTTAGGGACAATTTGAAATGTAATCTCAAAGAGGGAATCAAAACTGAGCCACACACAGAAACTATTGATATTGTTAACAATATCACCCTCCCGCCTCCCACCCCACACACAAAACACATAATATGCTACCAAAACACATAACGTATTACGCACCCGCCGCGAATAACCCGGAAAATACAAAAACAAAAACTGCAAAACATCACCCCGACAACCCGGACCACAAAACACCTCCAGGACATCCCGAAACCAGTCCACCAACCCCAGCAACCGGACACAAAAAAAAATACATGCACCTGCGATTCACTTAAACCCTCACAATGAACACATGCCTCAGAATCACGCAAGCCAAGCATACACAACCGCTCATTCGTTGCCAGCGACAAATGCAGAAACTGAAAAAGCAATTCACGCTGCTGAGGCGCCAAGAACCGTTCCCCCAAACACTACCAGATACCACCCCAATCCCAACACGGGTATAAGCCATCCACTCGAGGCCGCACCCAGGGCAATAACACCCCATACACAGCCTTGCACGAGATTGACAGAAACCCAGGATGGCGGCAGAGCTCCCGAAGAATCCCCACGGCCGAAGAACAACCAGGGGGGGGGGTAAACAAGGCCACCTCCCGACAAACCCCCAAATCAACCAAATAAGTGAAGTGAAGTGAGCAGAAAAAAAACAGCCAGTGTATTCAACCCCCCACAGAGAACCAGCCCCTGATGCAACGAGACCCAGAAGAGGGCCTTGGCCTTCGTGAAGACGTCAAGAATGCCAACACCCCCCTCTCTCACCAACGTCGAACGGCACACCGGTTGTTAACGCCCACACCATACATATATGTACACCATATACTCAAAATCCAAGGCCTTCCGACGATCCAACGGGAAACATCGAGCCACAAACCAGACACGCGACAAGACCTTACATGCAACAAGCAGTCCCCGCTGATAAATCGTCAAAGGACGATGCGACAAGAGGCCAACCGCAACCCCCAACCGACCGAGAGACAGCACCCCAATTCCACTCTAAGAAGTGGTCATAGGAGGCAAACCAAGTAACCCCAAGAACCCGAATCGAGGAGACCACCGGAAACCACGACCTATCCCACACCAAGCGGGAGGCCCACACACCGATCCCCATCAACCCCGACTTCGCCAGATTAAGAACGGCCCCCGTGGCGGACTCAAACCGCAGGAGAACGTCCTTGACAGCTCCAACAGAACCCTCCGAAGCTACAAACAGAACGGTGTCGTCAGCATACCCACAAATGCTGAGGGTATGCAGACAAGGAGGCACAATCAAGGAACACGCTTTCACCGCCCGAAAGAGAGGTTCCTGAAAAATCACATACAAAAGCATTAACAAGGGACACCCCTGACGAACGGAACGACAAATAGGAAAAAATGAACTAAAAAACCCATTCACACAAACGCGACTGCGACTCTGGACGTACAACAAATGGACCCAACCCACAAACACCGCCGGAAACCCTTGCTGCTCCATAGCACTAAAAACAAACTCCAAAGACACCCGATGAAAGGCCTTTGACCAGTCCAAGCTGATCGTAGCCGCCGAAAGCCCATACTCGGACGCATAGAGAAGCACGTCACGAAATAAAGCATTGCACTGCATAGGGCACGGCCAGGCACACCACATAACTGCTCCATAGAGACCACGACACAACGACACCGCAACAGCGACGCGCTAAAACTTAGACAGAATTTTATAGTCAACATTCAAGAGCGTAATAGGCCTCCAATTCGAAAACAACTGCAAATCGCCCGGCTTTGGGAGCAGCCGTACGATCCCGTCTCAAAAGGAATGAGAATCGAAGCGAATTTTGGTTGTGGGAGATTCCCAGGTGAGGTATTTAGACAGAACGTTTTGTGCCAGAGATAGGGGGAACAGATTAAGGGTTTGCTATCCGGGAGCTGGAATTGGTGATATTGTTGGAAACATGAATGATATTATGACGGGAAATGGGAACAAACCCATTATTTGTATTAGTGCAGGGGGTAATGATGTTGGGCGAGTTAGGAGTGAGGAACTAATACAGAGACTTAGGACAGCCATTGAATTAGTTAGGAGCAAGGGAGGAATCCTGATCATATGTGGCATTCTTCCAAGAAAGGGAGTGGGAAATGAATGGATGTCGAGGGCACTTGGTGTCAATTGCCGGCTGGAAAGATATTGCAAATCAAATGCAATATCTTTCATAGACAACTGGGAACACTTCTATGGAAGAAATGAAATGTATGCTCGTGATGGGGTGCATCTATCGAGGGCTGGGGTTGTTGCTCTTGTGAACTCGTTGGAAGAAGTGGTTAGAGGTGTTTGTTTGGGTTTAAACTGTTAGTAGATAGTGGTATGGGAATTGATTTGGAGGAAGGAGGTAATAAAAGTATGTGTTCGTGGGAGAAAAGAACTGGCAAAATGATCAGGGAAAGAGAAGGGCCTCAAAATAACAATTCACTTAGGATATATTACACTAACAGTAAAAGTCTAAAAAATAAAATTAATGAATTAAATGCTCTTGTCTGCACAGAAAAAATAGATATTATTGCACTTACCGAAACGTGGATGAATGTAGAAAATAGAGAACTATTAGCTGAATATCAGATAAATGGATTTAAACTATTTCACACAGATAGATATATTAGACGAGGAGGGGGAGTAGCCATATATGTTAGGGACAATTTGAAATGTAGTCTCAAAGAAAGAATCAAAACTGAGCAACACACAGAAACTATTTGGATAGAATTAAACGAAAAAGCAAATAATATTATAATAGGAGTTATATATAGGCCACCAAATTTAGACAGAATGGAAGCAAAGCATCTATGGGATGAAATATCTAGAGCATCTAGATCTAACAGTATTTATGTCATGGGTGACTTTAATTTTAGTGGAATAAACTGGGTGAACAAAACAGGGAATAGTGAAGCAGAAGATTTTCTAGAATTAATTGACGATTGCTTTCTTACGCAACACATTAAGGAACCAACGCGGGAAAATAATATTTTAGATTTAGTGTTAACTAACAGGGGAAACACAAATTAATGACATCGAAATAGGGAGTGAGCTAGGGAACAGTGATCACAAAGTAATCAGATTTAGCATAGAATGGAATAGACCTGTAGGAGAAAATTCTGTTAAAGTGCCAGATTTTCGAAAAGCTGATTTTAATAGCCTAAGAAATTTTTTGGGTCATATTGATTGGAAAGTCTTGGGTATGGGGTGTGGGCCGGTCTTGGAGCGAGACATGAACCCAGCGATAAATGGGGATTTCGATGTGGATTCAATATATAACTTATTTAAGAATATTCTAAACAAAGCACAGGAACGTAGTATACCATACAAATTGAATAGATCGAATACTAATGACCCAAAGTGGATAAAAAATAATTTAAAGAACCTTATAGGTAAAAAGAGAGCTTGGTACAAAAGGATCAAGTATGGGGAAGTCAGGTTAGAACAGGAATTCATACAACTGGTTTGAAATGTTAAAAAAGAGATTAGGAAAGCAAAAAGAAACTATGAAGTTCGCATAGCAGAGCAAGCAAAGTCAAATCCTAAAGGGTTTTTTCAGTTATATCAAACTAAGACTAGGGAAAGGATAGGTCCATTAAAATCTGAGACAGGTCAAATAACGGATAATGACAAGATGAGTAGTATTTTTAACAAATATTTTATATCTGTATTTACTAAAGAAAAACTTAATAATATGCCTTCAGCCGAACAAGTCTATGTGGGTGGGGATGAGGACAGGTTGACTAGTTTAGCAGCTACCAGGGAGGATGTAATTAAACAATTAGAAAAACTAAAACCAAACAAATCCCCAGGGCCGGATGAAGTGTTTGCCAGGGTGCTTAAAGAATGCAAAGAGGAGCTTTCCGAGCCACTGTCTACCATATTTAATAAATCAATAGAGTCAGGCAGAGTGCCAGAGTCATGGAAGGTAGCTAATGTGGTACCAATTTTTAACATAAGAACATAAGAACATAAGAACATTTTGTTGCTAATGTGATACCAGTTTTTAAGAAAGGAGATAGATCACTTGCGTCTAACTATCGACCAATTAGCCTAACGTCTATTGTGGGAAAGTTACTCGAATCTATAATAGCAAATAAAATTCGTCTTCATCTTGAAAAACATAAATTAATAATTGAGTCGCAACATGGTTTTATAAATGGCCGTTCATGTTTAACAAATTTGTTATCTTTTTATTCTAGCATTGTTGAGGCAGTTGATAGTGGTAAGGATTGCGATGTTGTATACCTTGACTTTAGCAAAGCTTTTGATACAGTGCCACATGAAAGACTGATTAAAAAAATAGAGTCTCATGGTATTGGGGGTGCTATATTAAGCTGGATTAGGGCATGGCTATACCAAAGGAAACAGAGAGTTAGTATAAATGGAATCAAGTCAGAGTGGGAAAATGTTGTAAGTGGAGTGCCTCAAGGCTCTGTCCTGGGACCTCTGTTGTTTATAATATATATAAATGATTTAGATTCAGGTTTGAGTAGCAACATTTGCAAATTTGCCGATGATACGAAAATCGGTAGGGAAATTAATTCGGAGGAGGACTCACTATCACTTCAAGTTGATCTAGATAGGGTTTTGAAATGGTCAAAGGATTGGCAGATGCAGTTTAATGCTGATAAATGTAAAGTTCTGAGGTTAGGTAATGATGATAGAGTTACTAGATACGAGCTAGAGGGTGTTGTGATTGCGAAGTCGGATTGCGAAAGGGATCTGGGAGTTATGATTAGTAAGAATTTAAAACAAAAGGATCAATGCATGAATGTTCGTAATAAGGCAAATCGGACACTTGGATTTATTAATCGCAGCGTTAGTAACAAGACACCTGGTGTGGTTCTCAAGCTATATCTTGCTCTAGTTAGGCCCCATTTAGATTATGCAGTTCAGTTTTGGTCGCCGTATTATAGAATGGATATAAATTCACTTGAACGTGTCCAACGTAGGATGAGGATATTAATAGGGTATTAAAAGTATCAACACAGGACAGAACACGAAACAATAGATATAAATTGGATAAGTTTAGATTTAGGAAAGACTTGGGTAAATACTGGTTCAGTAACAGGGTTGTTGATTTGTGGAACCAATTGCCGCGTAACATTGTGGAGGTGGGGTCCCTCGATTGTTTCAAGCACGGGTTGGACAAGTATATGAGTGGGATTGGGTGGTTATAGAATAGGAGCTGCCTCGTATGGGCCAATAGGCCTTCTGCAGTTACCTTTGTTCTTATGTTCTTATCCTACGCTGGACACGTTCAAGTGAATTTATATCCATTCTATAATATGGCGACCAAAACTGAACATAAGAACATAAGAACATAAGAACAAAGGTAACTGCAGAAGGCCTATTGGCCCATACGAGGCAGCTCCTATTCTATAACCACCCAATCCCACTCATATACTTGTCCAACCCGTGCTTGAAACAATCGAGGGACCCCACCTCCACAATGTT